TGACAATTTTCTGGCACCCGAGAAGGTGTGAACGGAAGTCCAGGTACCAATAATCGCTTATTAATCGGTGGCGTATACGCAATTTTCATTGCTGCCCGTGTCATATTGCGTGTAATTGCTCAAGTCGATAAAATAAATAAATTGCAAACCGACCAACAGGTTGTGTAAATCGAGATGGTTTAAAAAGAAAAAAGAGAAGAAAAAAAAGCAACGAGAAAGAAAGAAATTAAGAAGAGAGTGTCGAAAGTGTATTATACTTTAAAGGGATGTCGTCATCCCGCAGAAGCCTCGAGCAGAGGAAATGCCAGGAAAAGCGGAAACGGAAGCTGGGCCGTCGTCACTCCTCCGCTTCTCTTTGTTATGTCCACATGTTCGTGCTGCTGACTTTTGTGTCGCCACTAAGCGGCTTAGAAGCATCTGAAAACCCTTCGGAAACCCCGCCTCCGTCTGAATAGAGAACCCCTATTTCCCTCGAATCGCACTTTAATACGGGCTCAAGGAGATGCATTTAATTTCCCATAAGTGCCCGGGCGGAAAAGGGGAAAAACGATACGAGGAAAATGCATATTTATTTCAGCTTCTTGGGTGATTATTGATTTTGGTTTTTGCATACAACTTTTTCAACTTTTCATAAAGTTTTTTAACCTCAATTTATTCTTTTAAATAAAAGTAACTCTCCTAACCTAATTTTAAACATTTTAAAATATGCCTTTTCCGACTTTTAAATTTCGTTCGTAATACTTCCGCGAATTTATCCCGAGCAAATACCCATAGCTATTAACATATTTAGCTTAAATATGCAAAGTTTTTGGCCACGTTTTTGTGGGAGTTGTGGGCTGAACACCCCAAAAACACACACTAAGGGATAAAGGAACAACAAAAAAAAAAAACCTAAGGACTCTTGACGAACACCAAAGCAAATGGAATAGCACGCAAAAAAAAAGTGGTGGGAGGAAAAACTTTATGGAATAAAAAAAACCCGTTGATTATTATGGGAAAAGACTGAACAACTTTTTGGCCCTTTCTTTTATTTTCGCTCCTTCTACTACTCCATTTTCGTTCAGTTTACAATTCAACAGAATGCTACAAGCTTTTTTTTTCCCCGGTTCAGGACCTTTAACCCACTCATTTTATTCCATTATTCCGCGGGTTGCACAAAAGCTGGCGGCGAGAAGAAAAGTGAAAAGTTCTTAATCATGTAAACGAAACGTTATGCTGCAATTTATGTGCAAGGCCAAAAAGTTAATACGCCGCACAAGCCATCATCGTGCATCCAAACTGCCGGATCCGGTTCTGCTTACCGGAGTATCCTACCGGATTTTAAATTCCCCGCATTATTTCCTTTTCTTTTTGCCTTGCATGTGGGCAAAAGTGAAATCCAATAGCTGCGTTTGCAATTCCGAAAGGAAAGAAAAATAGTCAAAAGAAAATATTCAATATTATACAAGCAATTAATATAAATAAACAAGTCTAATAAAGCCAAAACGTTTTCAGGTGTGATTTAAAATACTGAAATATCAATGTCTTATGTCTTATGATTATTATTCAAACGCATTTGCGTTAAGCTTGCAAATCCCCTAAAACATTTTGGGCAAAATAACCTCAGCCAACCAATGCAGAATTGTGGCCGATTTGGGCAACAATATGCCTCTTAACAATTACAAAGTAAACTTGTAACAATTTAAATCATCTGAGGGCTTTGTTTTTGCTTCATTAAATGCAAATGCAAAGTAAACCGAATGTGTTTGCCAACCGGATTGTCAATGTTTTTGCAGGCATGCAAAACCCCCAAAGTCTTTCGTCTGATATTTGTGCAGTTTGATTGTCTGCCCGGTATTATTTGAACTCTATCTATATATATTCTCTGTATTCTCTGTATGGATTTTTAGTAAAGTTTCACCTGAAATGTAGTGAGGCAAAACGGGGATTGTCTTGAGCTGGCAAAACCTCATCAATCAGAAAATCCAAAATGCAGACTGCAGTTGACGATGGGACACACTGTTTGGCAATTTTCTTGGCACTTATTGTTTGCCTTTGTTTAGCCTGCAAATTGCCTGACAATGACGATGACGATGACGATGGCTGTGCTTTCCGAAGGAGCATGACCGAATTTTCCACTCGAATGAGGCCGGAAAAATTAGCCCATGGATCAGTTTCTTTGATTGACAGCCCACAAAAGAGCAATCACGAATAATGTTGGCTCCCAATTGTAGATTGTTTATTGGTGTGACAGTAAAAATCTTTATAATCTTTATAATTGAAAATCCCATAGGTTCATGTGTTTTAATAACTAACTAATTATTGTCTAGGAAAAAGTCGAGTTAATATTTTGGGTTGTTAATAAAGTCACCGCAAATATCAATTAAGTTCGCTGCCTGAGTTCCATTTTGTAGGCACGAATTGGCTTTGATTGATGTCGGTTTTAATTTCTGATAGTTTCTACGAACTTCCCCCATCCACCCATTCATTTATCGCCCCCAAAAGGTCGTCACATACTCGCCACAACTGTCCCGAGCAGAATTTCGGTAGTGGCTGTGGGCGTTTTGTCATAAAGTAAATGTCGATAGCAGGAAAAGCAGCTCGTAGCACCAAAACTAGCGACAGCCACAGCTCTTCCACTGCAGAATGCAGTAGAGGATGGAGCCAGATTCTCTGGACACGGCCCAAAAATTTCTCAATTTAGGTGGTGGGAAAAAAGGGGTTTCGGGGACAGACACAACAACAAAAAAAATAAATAAAGAAGGAAGGTAAAGCCTGTGGGGCCAAGGGCAAAAATGCCATAAACATGTTGCATATTGTTGTGGACTTCAGCCATCGGAAAACCCTTGGTTAACAACTGGGAGTCTGGCCAAAATGAATTTCCCTTAAACGGGTTAAGACAGAGCAAATTTCTCAGAATGCCTGAGATTCTTCTTTTTGGCAGGTCTTTAAACTATATTTAAGTTTTATAAGGCATTCGCTGTGGAAATTCCCGACAAGTTTAGAAACATATGAAGAAATTAGAACAAAAGGTTTTGAATCCTTTATTAAAAATAATAAACACACACCTTAAATACGTATCTTCATCAAACTTTTTTAGCTTGTACTTCCTTTAAGAACTAAACAAAGTTTCTGTTTAAAAACAAAGTTTATTCAAATCAGGTTGAGGGTCATTAAAGTAATCCCCAGTTTTCGCAACCCCTTGACAGTCAGTTTGTAAAGCTCGAGGACCTTTCCCCAATGACACTCATCCCTCGCATAAATTTCGTTTAATCCCTTGAAAAGCCAAAGTCTAGTCTTTGATAGCCCGGCTTTAAAGGGCCAAAAAGAAAATGCAGTGCGACAGGAAGCGGGTAAATATTTCACATGCTCTTGTTGTTGTTCTTGTTGTCGTTGTTGGCAGAAAAACTTTGGCGCTATATGACATTTGTTATAAATTTAATTAAAATAAAATGCCGGAAATGAGTGAAGTGTGGCACGTAGGCGGAGCGGTGGGGATTTTCCGTTTTTCCGTTGGATCTGCCAAAGAAAAGGAAACTTGTCTAACTGGCAGACAGGCGAACTGGCATCCTTCCTGGCAACGCAGACGCTTTTCTAGAAACACAAACACGCAGCGGACTTCTCACATAACACACAAGAAGGTCCTAAAAAAAAAAAAAACACCAATGGAAGCTTAAAGTACCCTCGAGCCGTCTTTTCTTAAATATCCCGAACCTAATTAGATTATTAATCATATGGTAAGAAGAGCACGAAATGTTTTTGAGCTGGAAAAACATTTTCTGGAGATGAGATTATTTTTAAAAACACTGTATAATTAAAAAAGAAAATATGTAATTTGCTTCCTTCTTGGTTTTACTTGTATTTTTATAATACTACCTCAGTAAGATGTACCTTAAAGTAAAATAAAAAAGTTCTACTAACACCCAAAGCCAAACAAAAGGTTCTTCTGCCGAAGCCAAAGTAATGCGTTTCACTAGAAATATTTCTTCTTAGCCAGCAATTCGAGGAAAGGCAACCTCGAGTTCGTCGAAAGGCACATGTGATGTTATTCTGTCATTAAAAGGTTCGAAAAAAGTTTCCACTCTGCGGAGCATTCAAATGGGTGGGCGTCAAAAAATAATAAAAAAAAAAAAAACTGAATAACGAAGGGATGCTGTGGAAAAGTTTTCCTGCTCGCAGGGCACAAAATAAAATAAAATAATTACGTAGAGATAATATGGGTTTCTGTGTGTATATATTCGTATATCCTGTACATGATGCCCCTCAAATTTTTGACTTAAGCCCCTCGGCCGCAAAGGAGACCGCAGCCTCGTGAAAGTTTGCGGCGCTAATGTTGGAAATTTGTTAATTTTGCGTGGACCTTTTTTCCACTGCGAGTGCAATTACATGGCCCACTGAGGTCGTGCCTCCTAAGTACCAAATCGTGTCGTGCGAAACGTTGCGTATACGTAATACGTATACTTAATACGTATACTTAATACTCAACTCGAGGACTAAGCCCAAGTGGTGGCCATTCATTCAGCTGGCTGAAATTCACTCGCACAATTGCCAAAAGTGAATATACGAGTATTTCAAAACTAATTCCACGATTATGTGGCGGCGGCAAACAAAACTTTGTTTGCCCTAACCATTTTGGCCACAACTAAAAGCATATCTCAAACTTTTGTTTGTTTGTTTTTGCGATCGTTTCGGCGGACATATGACTTTACTAAATCACATAAAACAAAACTTAAGTCGGCGCCATAAATGGTTCAAAAAAAAAGGAGAATGGTTGACTTAAAAGTTCTTTGCATATAAATAATGCAGATAATAATGGTTGTCCGCTGTAAATGGGTGTGAAAAACAACAGGCTGCATTATTAACCAGCGAAAGTTTGCAACGCCGACAACTTGCATATTTATGAATTGTTAGCCCCGTTAGCCATTTGATGACTTCATCGACTCCTGCTAACTTGTTACCAATGGCCGATGAATTTTTAAACACGGTCTAGGCAAATATGTATCAATATACACACGGTGCTGTTGATAATTTACAAAACTGAATTATTTATTTGGTTTGTGGAAAAGTGCTGAGCAAATGTTGCCGTAACAGTAACAATAAAAGTTCCAAGCGAAATGGGGTGAGAGTGAACAATTTTGTGGTCAACCAAATGGGGCTTCTGAGTATCTGTATATGAATGTATCTTGTGTGTGAATGTATCTTGTGTGTGAATGTATCTGTGTGTTAAAGTGTAAGTATGTGTTTGGGTGTTTGGGACAGGTCGTTTCCTTTCATTTGATTGTTATTTGGTTATTGTGAATGTCGATGGTCTAATCGCGGGGGCTGCGTTATCAAGCGGCTATCGGGTATTGGTTATCGGTTATCGGCTATCAGAAGTACTCGCCCACCGCCCGCAGCGTTATCTGCTCCACCTGCGTATGCGGCGGCGTCGAGAGGGCGTACAGTACCGCCTGGGCCACGTCGTCCGCCTGCAGGATGACCGCCCCCAGCTTCTCCTTCGTCTCCTCCGGAACGATCTCTGTGGCCACCCAGCCGGGATTGATGCTCTGCGAGATGAGAGGGCAAATTATTGATAAAAGATCTTATGAACCGAGCATATATATTTTTCTTATAGTTTTTATATTTAAATAAACTAAAGTGGTTCTAGTTTAAAATAAAACCTTATAAGAAGTGTTTTTAAAAAATATTTTTGAGGTGCGTTTCAAGTTGTTAAAATGTTTCGACCTTATTTCTGAACTTTTTTTTTTAAATTATTATTTCAAGAGTTAATTATTTTGTTAGAACTATTCATTTATTTTTTTATGTTATTTTTTTTGTCTAAAATGATTTGAATTATCTTTCAACAAACCACTTAAGCGAAGTAACACTGTTTAAGCACAGCTGTGCTTCAAATAAAGGCAGATTGCGGTGATAAGAATTGGAATTGCTTATGAATTGCGCTTATCTCTCTATCAACACCACATAAAAATTATTTTAAAAATGTGTTCATCTTGTAATATAAAATACTTTTATACTTGTGATGTAGTTAATATAAAGTTGTTTTTAATTTTAATTATAATTAATATATGCTCACCGTGGTCTTGATCTTGGAACCCTTTTGGATCAGCTCCTGTCGGCAGATCTCGTGAACGGCAGTTAGCCCAAATTTACTAGGAGTATAGGCATTTAAGCTCTCATCCGCCGGATCTGGCTTGTAACCAGCTACTCCGGCCGTGCTATTTACGAAGAACAGATGACCTGCCACCTGACGTCTCCTCATGCTGCCCGTTGCCAATTTGGTGCAGTAAATGCTGCCCATGAGATTCGTTTGCAGAATGTTTCCAATGTCCTTTGTCGGCATATCAATAAGTTGGCCACCCAAAACGATGCCGGCATTATTTATGAGCACATCGATGCCACCGAGTTCTTTTTCGATCCATTTGAAGGCGGTGTCCACTTGCGATTCCTGCGAAACATCGCAGGTGTGCTGATGGAATCGGGATCTCTGATCCTCTGGAAGGGATTGCCGGAGTTTCTCCAGGCGATCGGTTCGGCGGGCCAGGCCAACAACTTGCAATCCGGCGGAGACCAAAAGTCGGGCACATGCAGCCCCAATTCCGGAACTTGCCCCACTTATCACGGCCACGCGGTTCTGCCAACGATCCATCGCTTTCGGGTTCCGGCGATCAACTGAATCCGGAGAGCATCAGCTGATGGGGTTATATATACACGATACGGGGGGCTTATCGCGGTAAAACTCTCTCTCTCTCTGGTTAGCTCTCTATGATCACTGAGAAAAATTCACAAGTCACAAAAGAAGAAGTTAAAATTAACGTGGATTTTAAATACCAAAAGAGTTGGAATAAATTCAAAAGTTATTTTGACTTTATTTAAATTTAACCGATAAATTATTTGATTTAACTTTCTTATCACCAATTTCATTTCAAAGTACATTTAATTGTTTCTCGAAGTGTACTTTCCAAAATGTGTAAAGGTTGCTTTTTGTAATGACGTGTCTTTCGTTCTTTTGGAACACACCATCCGATCAGTGGGGCTGCTGACAACAGATGTTGTTTTTCCCTTATCAGTCCGAATGAATTAATTGTGATAGCAAGCAAACGAATCAAAGCCTGAAGAGATGTTTGTTGTAAAACAAATATAAATATAAATAGACCAACGTAATAATAGCTTCATCAATGCGTATCCGAAAATAAAGAATCCCCAATGTCTTGTTTATTTTATGTAGCCCTAAAAGGTCCCTACAAATTTGTTATGGCCAACAAATTAGATTTCTTGCCATATCTTTTGAATTGTGGCTATTGCGAGACTTTCAGCGCAACTTCAATTTTCTTGTTTTTCCTGCTTTTTTTTTTTTTTTTAGCCATCCCCTTGACTCGTTTTTCCATGCATTTAAGGCGCGCCATTAAAAAAAGGCCAACACGCAATGCAGTTAAATGGCGCCTCAAGTTATGGCCCAAACCAACACGCGCATATGCAATGCCACGTGTGTGTGTGTGGGTGTGAGTATCTGTGTGAGGGTATCTGTGTGTCTGTGTGTGCGTGTGTTACTGGTTTATCGCCCAGCACACGCTTGACATATTTTTTGTGCAGCGGCGCTGTTTTTTCTTTTCTTTTTTTTTTTTTTTTTATGTCCGCTCGTAACATTCAAGAGATGCTTAAATGGCAACAATAAGGCAACAAAGGGAAATCCGTTAAGAAAGGAGGAAGGTCCGCTGCATCCAGTTGCAACATGTTGCAAGTGCCAGGGCCCATCAAATCACAACTGGGGCCATTTTGCCAGCACTTTATCATGCAATTACCCAGGCAAATGATGACAGACAGCTTTGGCCAAACAAACTATGCGATAAACAGACGCAAAAAAAAAAAAAAAAAAAAAAATATATAGTAAACGACAAGCGAAGGAGCTAAGGACCTACAAATTGTCCTTTCTGCAAGCAATTCTGATTAACCATCCATCTGCGGAGCTCATCAATATCGCATGCGCCATTAAATTGATGCCAAGCAATTTGTTTGTATTTTCCCAGTCCACACTAAAATTATTTTTCCAATTTCCCATGTCTCTTTCGTCTATTTTTGTAGACTTTCTCAATTTAAAACGAAACGTGTCAATCGTTAGTTGAATGTCTTTACCCATTCCCAACTTATTTAAAAATAAAAAAAAGGTGAAAAACCCTCTATTTTCTTCAAAAACACAATTTAATTGAACTGTTTGTAAAAGCTTTTAAATTGTATTTACGTAAATCAACTTTTAGTATGAACAAATGATTTAAAAACAAAGCATGTTGGAATCCTTTCAACGGCACGAATAAATATATCAACAAGTAAACAGATATGCGATATAAAAACAATGACATGCTGGTTATTCAAATTGACAGCTACCAAAAGGACAGCAGAAAACCATAGAAAAACAGAGGGAAATCCCAAAACTAAAAACAAAAAATTTCGTGTTGCCGGGAATATAGAATAAGCTAACGAATTGAAAGCACTTAAATTAAACCATTTTTGTGGATTTTCCACCCAAAACATAAATGCTGTCAATGGCAACATAGTCGGCAATGAAAACAAGTCAAATGAAAAATCAATCAAAAATAAAGTTGTTTTAAGTCTTAAATGTTATTTTAAACAAATGCTATTTTATTACAATTAAAATGATCGTAAACGAACAAGGTACTAAAATATGTTTATTAGTTTATTTATATTTAATTCATAATGAAAAACCCTTTTTTTTCTACTATTTTTGTTGGCAATTGTGGTTTTCTCCCTTTTTCTCACTTGACTCTGCAAAGGAGGGTAAGATGGTCAGCAAATTATTTTCCACTTGGCTTCGGCCATTTCATTAATAAATACCTCCCGTGGCAACAATGTTTATTAAATTCCTTATGGTTTCTTTACTTCTACGTTGAGGAAGATTCTTAACCAACTAAAATCTTTAGCATTTCAAAATTTTAATTACTAAATTGATGTTGGAAGCGAAATGCTATTGTTCATAAACTTGAAAAGTTTAAAGGCAGTTTATTTTTAGTTGGTTCCTGTATTTTAATTAAATGTAATACCTACCATACATATATTGAAAACTCAATCTCTTTAATCTTCTTTGGAGCCACTTTATAGCTTTTCGACTTTCTTCTTCACACACATGACTTTCTGTTTTTGGCACAAAACCGCTTAAAAATCAAACCAAAGTAAAAGTCAATCCTTTGGCCAAACAACGTTGGTCAGCAAATCCCTTGACCAACTGCCAAATGGGCCCTTTGGAAATTTTCCCTCCTCGCACGTTCCGTTGAAACATTTTCCCCCCATGAAGCGGGAAAACTTTACACTTGCAATGGGTTTTTCACCAGCTGCTTCGTTGTCTTCTCTCCGCTTATAATGGCTCTAAAATGGGATCGGAAAAGGCGGTGCGGTGTGGAAAACCCGCTGGAAAATGAGCGAACAGTCGAAGGCCACTGGCACAATAATTCTTTTGCTTAAAAGGAGTTTGCCGCTGCCTCTGCGCTTTAAGCAGCTGGTTTTTATTTTTATTTTTTTTATTTTGCATTGCGAGGGTGGGGGAGGAAAACGCGTGCTTTTCCGAGACCTTCAGCCATTAGTGAGTATGATGGAGAAAGGGGGAAAGTGGGTGGGTGGTTAAAGAAGAAGGGAGGAGGTGTGTGTTTCGGTTGTACGAGATTCATGTGCTGCTTTAGTTCAACAGGATCCATAAAATTAACGCTGAATGGGGCAAGCTCCAGGATGCAACAATGTCCGCCTTACGCTTTTCACCCATTTTTCCCCGCCTCGCTTTTGTGTGTAATGAATGCGAGCAGAAGTAAAGTAAAGTTGAGTAAAGTAAAGGCCAAACAATAACAAGAAAATCTACTCACAGGACAAGACAATTGCCGCAACAATGTTTTTGGTTTTCTCTCTCTCTGTTTTTTTTTTTTTTTTGTGTGCCTGCCATTTCGCAGGTTTTTCCTTCTTTTGTTGGTCATTTAGGAGCTCATTTTGTGGCCTCATTAATGGGTGTGCGTGTGTGTGGGTGTGTGTGTGTTGGCCAAGAAAATATGTGTTGGGGGCGGCAAGTTAACAAATAATGACCGTTAAGATCTCGCCTGGTTGGGGGCATTAAAATTGCTTCATGATATATGCAATCCAGCCGTAAACACATTTATTAAAAAATTAACACTGCTGTAGGAAAATGCTCAAATTAACTTAAACTAAATTTAAACGAAAGTTTGTTTTAAACGAAGTTTGAAGTGCCTTATAAATGGCTAAAAAGAAAAAGGTTAAAAATGTATAATTTGTTTTTGAAATTCCTTCCCTCATTCCCTTTGGTTTTGACCTGGCTCATAAATCATTCAGATTAGTTGGCCAACGGACGATGGGTTAATTAAACCATCCCATCGCTTAAAAGGTGGACAAGCAGGCAAGTGTTTCACTTCCGCTTTTCAGACATTTTCACCCAGTTTTTCGCCCTGTCAGCTTGGGCTTGGCCATCGCTTTTCTTTGACTGCCTGTTATGCTCTTTGCATTTTTCTATTTTTCTTCTTATTTTTATTTTTTACACTTAACTCAATTTGCTGGGCCAAATAAAGTACACTGCACGGCCACGCCCACTGACAAGCTTTATTGGGGGCAAATGCCGTGGGGAACCGAAGGAATAGAAAATTATTGCTCAACGGAAAACAATTATTTTCCGCCGGTTCTCTCACTGTGTTTTCTTTTTTTTTCTCTTTTCTTGTTTCTTTCTTGTTTTTTTCTTGTTGTTGTTGTTTTTTTTTTTTTTTTTTTTTTTTTGTGCAGGATCATTAATGTGAGACGTGCTGAGGGCTAACCCCTCCCCTTCTGCCGCCCCACGGGAGGATACTCCCCCAGGTGGGCGTGGCATCGGTTGGTATCGTGTAATCTGAATATTGCCGTGACTCGCCTGCACCACTAAGTACTAAGTCAGCGAGCTCCTTTCACTTCCTTCGGCCAAATTGCATTTGCTTTTAGCCATTTAGGGTTATCGACTTTGAGGCCTCACCCTCGAGAACTTTAGCTGGAAGTCGGCAGGCCCAAAGGGATTTACTATTCGGCTAAAACCGAGGCAAGTTTCGCTTTGATGATTTATTAACAGGTGTTCTGTTTTGTTTGAGTTTAGCGACAAAGGAAAAAGCCACAAGAGAAAACTTTCCTTTTAAAGTACGAAAATCACCTTATTTTTGTTGCAATATTTTATTTATTATCTTTGAAACTCTACTTCAGAGTTCTTATTATTATTTAAATGGGAAACCATTTCTTATAATTACCCAAAAAGAAAACCATTAAGAGCATTTAGAAATTGGCTTTTTTTTTTGTGAGTCCGCGTGAGCTGAAAATAATTCATTTGTATTTGTTGCCTGTTTTTGCCATGATGCTTTTGCTGAGGGGCCTTCTCTTTTTCCGCTTCCTCCTTCAACGATGGGCCACATGGCGTATGTGTGATATTTGGTAATGCGTGTAATTAAGCAACACGTTCTCATTCTTCACCTAGCCTGTTGGCTAGCAACTTCCGCTGGTTGTTTTTGCTGCGAAACATGAAACTCTAATTATCAGAAAATGCCCAGAAAGGAAACTGTCGAAAAAAACGGGGGAAAAAAAAAAGAAAATACCATCGAGTGTGGGGCATTCGTTTATGCTTTTCACTTGTCGAGCGAATTGAATCCGCAATATATATCCGCAGGCCATGTCGACAACTTCCGACGAATTCCACCGAACCGAACTACAAAGAACCCGGGAGCCTGAGTCCATTTCACCGGATTTGATGAATAGAACCGCAGCCCACACATCCATCTGTGAGGAAAACGGGGCTTGGTTTTCCCCAGAAAGCTTGCCAGGCTTTAATTACCACATCATGGTAAATTATTTGTTTTTGACAAGCATTCAAACATTATTCTATCAATTGGAATCGAAACTATATGGCTTTTCCTTGTATTGAACATGTTTTTAACTCTATAATTTAATTAGTTTCGGTAAGAAAGCAAATCTTCTTTTGCAATTACAAATGGAGAGGTAATTGGTCAATTTTCAACGGTGGTTGCATTATAATTTTCCATCCTAAGTCACAAGTCAATCTTCCTATACATGTGAATATATGCATATGTGTGTGGGTGGAAGCCATTGTGATAATGACGACTGTTAAATTCACAATTAATTGGCCTCGACTTCGCCAGATGCCTAATGACCGTCAAAGGGTTAAGGCCGCTTCCTATTCTCATTCCTTTTCCGATTTCTATTCCTTTTCCCTGTGTCGTTGGCTTTCCCAAAAGTCAGATCAAAGCTAACGACTTCTCCCCCATTGCACATTAAAGGAGTCGTGTATCCCTTCGCTGGCTTTTCATAATCGAGCTAATTAGCATCGCTTAGGATGTGTAAGCTAGAAAACATGTATAAAATTCTCAACATGGAAAAAAGGTAGCATGTGAGGTTCTTTTTTTAAATAAGAAAAATTAGCTATTACTTTAAAATACGCATATTTAAAATTGTGTGATCGGTTATAATAATCACCAATTTAAACTATATTCAAAAACTTGAATTGTTATTATTTAAAAGCGTTCCAATTGCTCAGAAAAACAAACAATAAATCGACTCTTAAATTAACAACAATATCGGAATACGTAATATTTTAAAGGTTTTTTCAGAATAAAAATTCTTAAATATTATATATGTTCCCCAACCGCGTTTTTTTATCCATTCACATACATTCGCTTTTGGCTTTTAATATGCGCATTTTCTTTATAGTTTTTTATGCTTGTTTGCCATTCGCGATATGAATTTCCACAGCCTGCACCGGATAATTAAAAATAAAGCCAGGCAAGCGTAAGAAATAAAGAAATAAATTCTGCAGTGTGCTTTTAGGCGTTGTCCATTGCTGTCGTCACTTCCGATTAATATCAAAGTGTCGGTGAAGCGGTACCGTTGCATCTTGTGTGTGTGTGTGTGTGTAGGTTTGTATGTGGGCGGAGAAATAGGGTCGAGGGAATTAGTATTGCAGCGTGGGATAAAGAAACTCTAATGTGCCATTGTAAAAATATATTCACACTTTTTCAAGGTTTTGTCTTGGCATTTATTTTTCATTCATCTTTTGTTTTTTGCTTGTCTTTTAAATATGGCATTTCTGGAGTGCCTTTATCTTGATTTTGTTTTTGTTCAGTGCAGCGTGACAGTCGTTAACTCAGCACACTAAATGTTAACTAAGCGCCGAGTTATTGATGTGACAACTGCGTTTGAGTGGCAGTTTCCATTTAACTGCACTCCACCTGTGGTTACCTGTTAGTAGCTATAACTATAATCATAACTTCACCTGCACAAAACCGCAGTCAATTGTAGTTAATTTGATTTGTCTTGAGTACCAAAGGAAATCAGTTTATTTCTCACAGAGATTTCTAAGCGTAAATGTGAAGCTTTAGATACTTGCTTTGACTTATAATATAATTTTTAACTACATTTCGATTTTAGAAAACTTTTGCTACTGGTAGCTTCCATTTTGATTATCAAATTTCACTGCACTTCAATCTTTGTGTTTGCAAGTAATTATTGAATGCCTGCAGTTCTCCGGTTAAAATACTAATTACAGTGGCGAAATTCCCAGCAAATCTCGCCAATTATAGTTGATTAGCGTCGAGCTGGAAGATTTAGGCCGAAACTCGTTATCAACTGGGAGTTGGGGAGAATGTCAACCCGACTTTTAGTTCCACTTCGAACTGGGTCCTCCTGCCACGTTTTTGGCATTTGGGGGAGCAGTTGTCATGGCATCCGCTCAAATGGCCTGCATGTGCAGTTCGAATTGAGCCGTTGGCTCCGAATTCGATCCATAATTAGGTCGCCTCGACAGGGATTATAGGGATTCTCCAACAGAGTTCGAACTATTGGTATGTCATTAGCAGCAAACCGAAAGAGAGTGTTGCACAGGGCAATTAGAAACGCATGCCGACATTGCAATTTGATTCCTGAACTTGGCAAATAGATTCAAGTTAGCATCAAACTGAAATAAAAAAGGCTTTCGCTTAATAAAACAACACCTATTTAATAAGTAATACAATTAACGCAGATTTTTAATCCTACTGAGCACTTTTAATGGATTTAACCAACACTGGAGGGCCAACAACAAATCACCGCTCAGAGACAGCAGCAATCCAATCTACTGAGTGTTAGCATCTGTGACTGCCTACAAACTGTTGCCAGTAAATAAACTGGCCAAATTTGTCTAATGCGAACTCCCCCCCGGCTTTAACCCCCCAACTTCCCCCACTACTTCCAAACACAAACGGAATCGCAAAACCCAAACTGAAACCCCGGGGAACTCCCCCCTTTTTTTTGGGGGGCCATTGTCTTCGGTGGCTGTCGCTGCTCGTTCTGTGCATAATTCACGAGTTCAAATTGCCAAACGCCACATAAATGTACAAACAGGCACGTATTTATATATCTTGCCATCATCTCCCCAGCCCCCAAAAGTGGGCGTGTTCCTCTTTCTTATTCTGCGGGGTTCCATCCAGACAGTTGGAGCCACAATTATAGTAATGAAAGTTGCGCCCCTTAACCAGTGTTGCAAAGGAGTTTTCTATGGAAATATTTGGGATAAGCTTGATTAATAAAATAATTACATGTTTCCTAAGGAAAGTGAAAATAAATATGTTATTGAGCACTTCTTATATTTACAAAATATATTTTATGAATTTCTAGAAGGTATTGTTGCGATAAAATTTAAAATAAATGGGAGAAAATTAATGATAAGATTTAAATTTTAAAGGGGATTTACTTTCAAGGGATTTAAATTTACGAAGGGTTCCTTTTGTGTGCTTCCTACATCTTCAATTTATAATCCAAAGTGGCTTGTATTTTTAACCCACTTTTTATTCGTGAGCTACTATCACTCCAACCGCAATTGTTTAAAACATATATACAATATAGGTTAGGTCGCTTTGGCTTTGTGGCTTGCATGCAAATTTTATGTTTTAATAATAAGTCTCTGGCATGCAAGCGTCGCATATTTTATGCCAATCGTTGGTGGGTTCTGCGGGGATTCCAGGTGAAAATGGGGCGAAGAGGGGAATGAGGGGGGAGAGGGGGAGGGGTTACCATGCTCGAGGCAGTTCCACCTGGAGTCATTCAGTCAGTTAGTCACTCATTCATTTGGTTCACATTGGGTTCGTGTCCTCTGCCGTTTATTTTTAACCCAATTGTTTTCGTTTTTAGCCGCGGGGTTAAAGAATATCGGCAACCCCACTGCGGAATTTATTCCGCCCCCAAGATGATTTGTAAATATCTCCTGGAGTGCCATTTTGCACCTGAACAATATTTAGCACTTGCAACGGAAATTGATTAAAAATTCCCCTGAAAAACTGGAGCAAATATGTATTATAAAGAGTGCGTGCGGTCATGCAAAATGCAAATATGTTTGAAATATGTTTGCCACAATTCAGTGACCAGTCGCCAATTCCCACAATCGTGGATGGTGTAATAAACACTAAAATATAAATTATAAATATCTTGAAACTGAAAATTAATATTTAAAAGGGATTAAGTGGGACGAAGATATATTTTTTATACATCTAAGATTTGTATTTAAAAAATCCACAGTATCGAACGCATTTGTATCGAATGAATTCCTCTCTTTCTGTTGATTTGTGGTTTCTGCCAGTTACTTTTCCGTTCAATATACATATATACATACATGTATATATATATGTGTCGCTCGTTGCTGGTATAAATTTTCCTTCCCATTTTTATTTCGCACTTAATTAAAAATCCTTCGCTGACGTGCGACACGCACGGGTTTAAACCGCCTTAACCCCAATTCAACCTCAATCCCGGCCAGAAACTCTGACAATTGGAACTTGCTTGCTGTAATCAGCACTTTTGCAACTCGAACTCGAAACGGAAATGCAAACACAAGGGATTTTTATTTAACATTTTTTTGTTAGGTAATTAGTCTATAGAGTGATTAAATTAGGAACAAAGATTTAAAGAACAAAGAAATAAAATACGATTGCAGCTAGAATGTTTTTATTATTATAATTCAAATTTTGTTAAATTATTTGTAAAATGATTATTCTATAAAATATTATAAATATGTTTTGGTTTTCAAAGACTTATTATTATTGTTATTATTATATATAGTGCTTTACAATATTTAATCAAAATAATTTCTATCAATTAAACAAAGAAAAAAAAACAAAAAAAAATTATATCTAAAGAAGTACTAATAATAAACTTTCAAGTGTTGTAAAGTCTCTGTAGATTTTCAACAAGACTTATAGATAGTGGCATTGACCTCGTAGTAGCAAAGAGCTTTTTTGGTGACCTTGTCCTTGGGATTTAGAGAGTAGACAGTACCCTCCAGAGTGTAGATTGTGTTGGGATGGTACATGAACTTCAGGATCGCCGTTTCCGGCGGCACTTGAATGCGGTTCATCACGTATACGCCGGTTTTTAACGGACAGGCAACACTCATATTGCTGGCGGCCTTGGAGAGCATTAGTTTCGCCACATTATTCCAGGCGGACACGTGGCGGATGTACTTCCAGAAATCGCAGGTTTTCGTCGTGGAATTATAGAGGATTCGCGGCAGTTCCGCACGTGATGCAGATCCGGAGCTCCGCTTTCGCGGATGTTGCAACAAAACGAGATGCCACAATGGAATGGCCACTTCCTGGCGCACAAAGGTCACCGATGACAACGAGTTGTTCTTCTCGAACCAGTTGAGCTTTAGACCATAATTGGGTGTATCCCACGACCTTGCACCCACCAATTTCATCTGGTAGCAGTGCTAAAAAATCAGTTAAATATTTATTATTGCTTAATTCCAATTAAAACTTTAATTTCAAAATCCTTTTACAATCAGGTTTTTCCCACCTGCTTGGTCAATTGCAAAAAGCCAAATAGAGTTATAAAACCCAATAAATTTCTATAGTAGCCCATTTCACACGGGACCCGGCACACGAATAAAGAGCGACTGAAACGAATAAATAACAATATAATATTGTTAGTAACGTGATTTAGCCAGTATCGAAAATAATTATCCCTGTGATTTGTCACACCTCAATTGGATCAATTCGACCGAAATTACGAGCTAATTGCTAAATAATTGTGCGAACATAGTTGTGGGTATTCTGTTGGCCAATCAACTGGACTTAAACCTTTGGCTTGACCAATGACTTACTGAAAATATAGTGAGTAAAAATCAAATTTGCGAATATTTCTAGTCTGCTCTGTGGGCTTATTGACTTTAAAGCAATTATTTTTTGTCTGTAAAGTGGAAATTTCGTACCTGTTCTTTCAGTCGCTTTAACTTTTGGTTTTTGCAACATGTGCAACGGCTTTCCGTTACGATATTGCAGCATATAGGATATATTTTCCGATCCGATTCCGGCTTATTTGTTTCCCTATCCTCGCAATGCAGCGAACAATGGATCGAAATCCACTTTCCGCACACATCATCTCCTGGCACTTTCCTTTGTCCCGCCTCTCGATTCACTTCTCGTATTTACATTTTCAGTTATTTCCCGGCAAATATTTGCACGGCTTTGCATTGACTTTCCCCTTTCGCCCCGCAAACATATTTTCCGGCATTTTCGCGCTTATCCCAGTGACACTCCCTTTCCCTTTCCATTTGCTTTTTGCATCATCACATCACCGCATCAGGCAATTCAATGAGATTTGAATGGCGGCGGAAAACTTGTCCATCAGTTTTAGTTTCACTCTCTGTTTGGGATTCCGTTCGCGGCAAAAAAGGTTGTCGATATATCCAACAATACCTTAATTAAAGACGAATCTAACGATATCAAGTTGCAGAATTAAAATGAGCTGCTAAAATAATATTTAAACATACACGAAATCCAATCATATTAATATCGTAAAATATATTTGCACTGATGAAAGAACTTTAAAGTTAAAGTTCAGTTTTCCATTCAAAATAAATATGTAATTTAAAATAAGAAAATCGTATTGTGACTTTCACATATCAAACTGTTTACTTTCCCCATTTTCCATTAGCCACTGAACATTTTATCGCTTTTCGCTCGACTTTCAAATGGCAACCGTTTGATGGCCTACAACTTCATTCGTGGTAACCCGACTTGGCTGAAAATGGTCCACAAGGCCATTTAGGAGCATAAAATTTATCTATATCGCTTGTTTCATCTTGCTGCTGTGTCCTCTTTCTAGATTCTAGTTTTTTGTTCTTTTTTTTGATTTGTGTCAATAGGCTTTTATGGACTTTTAGTTCCACGATTGGCGGCTGCTCAAAACAATTTCTGTTGGCCTCCGCTTTTCGGTGGAGGTGGACTGGTGGGAGTTGAGGGGGTTGGAAAATATTCCAAGTCCTTTTCACATCTCAAATGCACAAAGCCATTTCAGAGAGTTGGACAGCGAGTTCGTTGGCGGCTACAGAAATGGCCACACATTGGGGAAAAATAGCACAAGTCCCTAAGCGATGTTTCACTTGGCTTTTCCTCAATCTTGCTATTTATACCAACATTGAAACAAAAAACCAGAAACATTACTTTGCATAAAAAAAAATATGAATGCTTGTAGTAATATTAAAGTATTAAGAATATGCATTGCTTGATAATTTTAAAATTTTTTTGCTTTGTTGGTTAAAATAAATCTTATAATAAAGTTAGTAATATAAAATTTTAATATTATTTCATATATTCTATTGTTTAATCACCTCTCTTTTCATACGTTTCTTCCTTTAATTTTTTCCATGACCTTTTCTAATGTTGGCTAAGACATAACTATGGAAGAAAATACCTAAGTGATGACCAATTTCGCAGTCATTTGTTCTCCGTGTGCGCCTTAACTTCTAGCCTTGTTTGTCTCTTATCGTGGAATTTCATGGGGGGCCTTGAACGTTTTATGATTGCACTTTTCAGCAATAAAATAACGATGGGGCGAGAATTGTGGATTGTGGATGCAACATTACCCCCTTTTTGTTCCCCCTTTTCACCTCCCAAGAAACGAGAACAGTCCGCAATGCGACCTCACGCCAAATGCTCGACTGAAACTTTAATAACCCCAGACGAGGCCGACACTTGCAATAAACTGACTGCTCGTCGTAAAAACACAACACACACCAAACACACACAAACACCACACACACACACTCGCATGCCCACTCGTAAAAAACAGAGGCACTAAAAAAAAAAAAGAAAAAAAAAGAAGTGGAAAAAGGACCAAGGACCGAGGATCCCAATGGGGATACCAACGTATCCTGACCAAAAGCTGTCAACGCGTCGCCATTGCAGCTCATAAACATGGAACCCCAACCAGATCCTTTGGCCCCTTTTCCTCATTTTCCTCTCTATTTTCCTCGCTATTTTCTCCTTTTTTGCTCCAGCCTTTTCCCAACAGCCAGGCTGTCAGTTATAGTTTTGGACTATCGCCTCACATTTATTTCGTCGCCATTTCTGTGGCGTTGTTCGCTTCCTGTGAGGAACACGCTGCTTTGCACTTTATTGCCTGTCCTGCATAATTGTTGGGCTTATTATTGGACTTTGAATAACACCCCATCGACAGGCATCATGAAGAAGAGCCACTAGTCCTGGTTTTTCCCAAGAGGAGTTGCTCTTCTAAATATATGGTAATCCATGGGGAAACATGGGCCAAGGGTTGGGGCTTCCATTGTCGAAATAATAAATAAATATTTGTTGGCCAGCCAGCTTTCACTAAGTAAATTGATGGTCCTTGGAAGGGTAGAATGTCTTGCAAGCAAAACTAAAATAAACATGAGGGTATCGGAAGCAACCGAACTCGGAAAAAGTAAAGTAAAATTTACTGGCTAAGAAATATATACAAATTCTGAAATGCATTTTATGTTATGCCACTTCACTTTGGAGTAAAATTGGTAAAGTTATTGGTTGGAGAAGTGCTATTTTTTTTTTTTTTTTTGCATTTATTACGGTTTTATTTTTAGTAAAATACGCAATATTACGTATACGACAGATGGTCCATCTAACAGATAGCTGCTTGAATTCCCTTAATATGCTTGCTTTTCCCATCAATTTCCCCGCATTCATAATCTTCCCCCTTGCAACATTTGTTGATCCAACAATTATCCAGTGCTTGTATCCCGCACATTACGCATACGCCACGAGGGCCGGTTAATAATGGACTTGCAGTGGACGCAGGCCAAATTCCCTTGACCACCGGACAAGACGAAACAGCAGTCATCAATCTCTGACAGGTTCGCTGCCCAAACAGAACAGAACAGAACAGAACAGAAGAGGACAGAACAGAACCTATGCAAAAGCTAAAACCCAAAGCCCAAACCCAAAGTCGAGTGGAGTACTCGTAAATTTCATTTAATCACCCGGACTTCTCGGGACTTTGATGTAGTACGCACAAAAAAAAGAAGAAGAAAACAGCAGCAAAAACAAAAAAAAGGGAAAGAAAGAAAAGTGGGAGAAAATATTAAACTCCAAAGGACGAAACGGGCCAACGTGCACGTGGCCATTAAATTGTCGGCCCTCGTTCCCTTGTCTTTCATACATACATTTTGTTGTTTTTGTATGAAAATTTATTGGCACTGCGACTGATGAGGCAGGAAGAGGTGGCAAATTGGGTCAACGGCAATAATAACAACGAGGTGCAACAGTTTGGGGAACGAGGGAGATGGAATGAAATGGGAATGGAAATGGGAATGGGAATAGGAACAGGAACGGAAACGGAAATGGCGGCACTGACACACCCAAGGTCACTCAGATGTTGGTGTGAAATGGGCAAATGTGGCACGAAGGGGCGGGGAAAATGGGAGAATCCTAGCCGTAAGACGCAAGTAAGGTGGCAAGGGAAAACACCGAGGCCCACATGACGGCAAGTGCAAATTTATGTTGGAATTAATTGCAACGAGCTGCGGGAAAGGAGCACAAGGTGTTTTTGCCGGGGGACCAACGAGTCCGGCCGTGACTTTAATTAGCCGTGGGTCGAGTACTCAAATCGGAATTAGTCAACCGTGGGCGAAATGATGGGTTTACCTTTGGCTTAAAGAAACCGGAAATAGGCAAAAAAAAACGAAAAATGTTACAGAATGTATACCAAAATATTTACATTTTAAAGTACGAAAGTGTCAAAGGTGAAAACAAAAAAATTATATTTTCAATAATTTAATTTATATATTATAAATTTCGATACTCAATACCAGTAATAATTTTATTCATTATTAGCTCATTAAATTTCCCTTTAACAAATTAATATTTACCTGGAAACAAAGTATAAAACCATTCGCAGAATATTGCTACCTGAAATTGTAAAATCCTTTCAAATATGCACAAAAATAATGAAATCATGCCGCAATGGCCAATGCACAACCATATTATCTGGCTGCTCCTTGATTAATGGAAACCAAATTGCATTGCAAATTTTACCTCATAATGAAATGTAATTGAAACGAGCGATTTTTCATTCGAGTGTTTGCAAATGTAATATTCATTGAACTGTTTTACACGAAACCCAAACTCATTTATGTCAGAATTGCAGGGCACTGAACAAAAAGTTGCCTATAAAAAAGACCTAACGAAAACATTGATACTGATTATATTTGTACAATTTATTGATCAAATATAAATAATTAAAAAGAACTTCTGTCACTTAAAATCAACTGAAATATAAATTCAAGCAGAAATAATTGCAACTGGCAGTTAATTTCATTTGTGACTGCATCTTCGACGAAAAATGCATCACGAATCATTCAATAATAAACGCCCTGCGAAAAAGAATCAAGTCAAGTAGAAATAATTTAAATTGGCATTCTGCTTTAAATGTGACATCTTAATGGCATTTTTCTTTTAATTTAAAAAATCATTTATTAAGCAGAAATAATTTAAAAGGACATATAATTTTATGTGTTGTTTTTTCTTATGGAAAAGTATAATAGAATGTTAAAAAATTAGTTAATAGTTACATGAATAAATGCTTACAAAATCTTAAGTTGCTCATTTACTCTACAAATTATAAAGAACTAATAACTATTTGATTTCAAAAATCAATAATTTTTAATTCCTTTGTTTTTTGCGCGGTTGTAGGATATATAATTACAAATAGTCGGTTTACTGAATGTTTACAGTGCTTCCTGCCTGCGAATGAGCTTCGTGAATAATTGACACCAATTAAAAATGCAATTGTCGTTTGGTTCTGTATGATTTTTCTACGGGTTCTGCCGACTTTATGCCGACATTCCG